TCTACTTTAGGGTCAACATCCTTAGTACAGTGAAAACATCTACTTTAGGGGTCAACATCCTTAGTACAGTGAAAACATCTACTTTTAGGGGTCAACATCCTTAGTACAGTGAAAACATCTACTTTTAGGGGTCAACATCCTTAGTACAGTGAAAACATCTACTTTTAGGGGTCAACATCCTTAGTACAGTGAAAACATCTACTTTTATGGCTCCTAGACATTAACAGTGACACTATTTTTGTGGGTACAGTAAAACCGCCATATTGTGTTGCGAGTTAAATCCCGCCCGATCTTCATTTTAACTTTTTCACATTAATCTACAACACCCTAAAGGGATACAGTTGCTATTGAATAGTATTTATTGTAGGTTAGATCGAACATTATTAAAATTAGCCGAATTTCTAATTCAAATATTTTTTTGATCGGAAACGGTACTTAAAGCTGTATACGAAATTGTGCAAACAAACCTGTTGTAAGTATATGTTTGCATATAATTTTCTTTCTAAGCATATGTAAAATAGAAAAAAAATATTCTTTTTGTATATCAATCAGAATGTAATTCAAGTCAAGCAAATTCTACCTATTTTAGTGATTTTTATTAATGGATTTATATATATATATATGTTTGTGTATACATATAAGATATTAAATCTATATTAATTGTTATGTTTTTGTTGCATAGATTTTATTTCTAGCAAAAACCGGTTTTGTTTTGGCATATTTTTGATACCACATGAATAAATAGTAAATTTGTTATTCACTTTCTTAATTTGTAGGTACAGCGTAAGAAGAAGTTCGTTGCCAGGCCAAAATGCAAAAATATAAAAAATTTCTGCCCTACACCTACTTGTGATACTCCAGTTCTACTGCCTGAGCATTGCTGCAAAACCTGCCCAAGCCAAGGTAGTAGTACCGTCCCAATATAAGAATGTCTTTAATGCGTGTTTCTAATCTAGATTATTATTACGTGTCTGTACTTCTCAATTCAGTAATTTGTTTAGATCGAGATGAATTCTTTCTTATCATCATTCATGTTATGATCTGTACTTCTTTTGCTACACTTGTCTTCTTATTGCCATCACCAAGGACTCGGTCAAGGTAAGACACTTCGTATCAATACAGATTATTTCATCCAGGCTAAGATAACGCCTTCAGTTACATCACTTAAGATTTGGCAAGGTCTCTTATTCGATCACTAACTTTTTTATAGTATAAGGTAAGGTTATCAAAATACTGGCCACCTAGAAAATGGTCTTCATCCAACAACCTAATATTTTTTCAAGTCCAAATTAAGATATTTTTACCGCTACCCTAAGTTTTGAGCAGATCAAAGCAAGATTCTTCAAGACATTTCTAAGATTACTTCCAGTTCAAAGTAAGGTATTTTATCACCACCTAGAGTTCTACACAGATCAAGGAAAGGTTATTCTTGACGCTACCTAGTGCTTTGTTTAGTACAAATTAAAATACTTGCTATTATTACCTAACATTTTGTCCTGCCAAAATAATATCCTTCTTACCATCAACGAAGCAAGGTCCTTCCAGCCACTCACAAGCATTTTATCTAAGCCAAAATACAGTGCTTTTTACCACTACCCAAAAATATATATTTGTGTAGGCTCATTTAAGGTAATATTTACCAGAACCGAGGGTTCCGACAATCCTAAAGTAAGTTTCACTTTATAGATCTTTTCACACCATAGTGAATATATATTTACTCCAGAGTTCTACAGAAATATAGATTGCGTCGATGACAAACTGAGTGAATCACTTTTCAATACCTTAGATTTTGTTTGGGGTGCTTCTTACACAGCTGCTCCCATGCAGTTACATTCAACGTTGTAAATGTCTTTTTTTTATCACTACTTGATTTTCCCGTTCCACTTACACCTAGCTAAAATTAGGAGTTCGATTCCCGCGGTGGACACAACAGATAGCCCAATGTGGCTTTGCTCTAAAACAAACTAAGTACATAATCTTAGATGCTTTTATTTTCATGAAATACACTTTTAATAATGTTTTAATGACACTTTTCAGTGATGTAATAAATGGCGTCGATTTAGTAATGTAAAAAGTACAACTCAAATGGCATTAAAGTTGACAAAATTATCATCTAGATTATAGTATCAAATAATTAATTTTTTTATTATATAGCTTATATGAAATTAACACTATAATTACACATACAGGGACACATATATATACATTTACTGAGTTGAGTAAGGTTATTAAAACTAAAATGATTTTAATCATGTGACAACCGCAGCCAATATAAATTCGCTGTGGAACGGAATGTGTGTTGTTTGGCTGTTTGTAGATACTGTGATTCCACCAAAAACTGACCACTTTGGAGAAAGGAATGTAACAGCCATTTTCGACACAAAATATTCGTGAATTCGAATCATAAAGATGTATTTAGATCGGAAATTTAGAATTTCCAAGACGGGGGATATACCTTGTATTTAATGGTTTTGGAAAACAAAGGAATATTGATCAACTTGACACATGGACCATTCAGAAGAAGACCTAAGACAAGTTTTACTCAACTATAAAAAGCAAAGTGCAGCGTTTTGTAACAATTGACAATCAAACACAAAGGTCAGTGGCAAAAGCTTCTTTGTATACCAGGCAACAGTACGCAACATGATCAAGAATAATTTCTGTCTGGAAACGATGCCAACAAGGTATGGGTTCATCAAAATAAAGCTTCCAGTCATATAACTCATTCTTCAGTTGCATACCTCAAGCAGCTGGAAAATGAAATGGGTATTCCTACTGTTCAATACAAAGACATATCAGTCAAGTCGCTTGCGAATTTCTGTACGATTGGACTGTTTACATGGGCACTGAGAAACTGTCTTCCTCGTACACTAGCTGAGACAAAGAAGAGTTTATGTGCTTTGAACATGAAAACCTTACGATGGAGATCTTACAAGGTAAACTACGCTGCTGAGCTATTGTCAACATGCACGCTCGTCTGAAAGAGCATGATCGGACGAGACGACATGGACTATAACGACGTGGTGATTCCCCAAAATGTTTTACATATAACGTATTCAATCTCTCTCTCTCTCTCTTCTCTTCTCTCTCTCTCTATATATATATATATATATTTGTGTGTGTGTGTGTGTGTGTGTATAATATTAAGAATTATACATCATTTTGCTGTTACTTTACGTATTTCGCTACTGACCTCTTCAGTCAGTTGAATCCTCATTCGCAGCATTAAATCAGTAAAATTGAAATGGTTGGTAAACTCGAACGGTTGATCAAGAATCCAATCAATAGTCAAGGAAGGAGGTAGAGGTCCATGTGTACCTAATCCTCCCCGGTCACATGACCAAATAACAACCAAATAAAACGAGTTGATCCATTTATTACCCATTTAAATTTGATATCTGTAAAAATCACTCTACTTTCTTTAGCAAATTTAATCTAAATTAGTTTAACCAGTTCCTCACAGCAACTGGTGGCTCTAAACATACAGTCACCATTTTAGTTGTATCTGGAGTATACTGTGGGTAACTCTGAAGAAATATTCAAGGAAAACCTATTATAGAAAGGTAGTCTATGATGCCTGGAAACCAGTTTAATGAAAATATTTTGGAAAAATAAGAAAGAGTTGTTTGATCATTTATTGACTTTCACGCACAACTAATTGAGGGGTCTCCGGGATAGCCGTCCCAAATTTAGAAGTTATAGACTAGGCGGAAGGCAACACCACCTACCGCCAAATGTTTGGGTACTCAAATCGAATAGCGGGATTTACCATCACATTATAATGCTTCCATGGCTGAAAGAGCAGGCATATTCGATGATATCACTCGAACCCTTGACTCGCAGCTTGCAAGTCGACCGTCCTAACCACCAGGCTATACCAGGCCCCATAAAGACAAATGACTGAAGTCCTTTTATAGACCCACCAAACATGCTCACCCCTTCAGTCTTGGGGGCGTTATAATGTGACGGTCAACCCCATTATTCGTTGGTAAAAGAGTAGCCCAACAGTTGGCGGTGGGTGGTGATGACTAGCTGCCTTCCTTCTAGTCTTTCACTGGTAAACTAGGGACGGCTAGCGCAGATAGACCTCGTGTAGCTTTGTGCGAAATTCATAGTAAATCATAGCAAACCTTCTACAGATATCAATTTTGAAGTGAAACTTTGGATTGTAGTTGTATATAATGTCAACAAATGGGTATTCTTTCTTTTGATAGTGATATTTATTGATGTAGACATTTCAGGTTTCAAATTTTGCATCGACACTTCTGTGTGGGTTCTTCTTATGTAGATAATTATTTAAATAAAACTCATTCCTAAATTGCACATTACTCAAACATTTTAATATCATCTGAATTTCCAGTATTATAGTTATGTTAAGGCAAAATCGCTGTTATAAAATAATGCAAGTCATCCCATTCAGTTAATTTATATTAAAGTTGAGCATCTGTTGATCAACGTTTAATCTAAAAATACAAGTAACTTGTCATTCAGCTTATGCTGTATTATGTGTTATATAGTGTTCTTAGACAGTCTTGTCTTGTTCTCATTATATGTGAAGCATACACTTCCAATTACACGATATTGTTCATGAAATATGACTATACCTGAAAAATTATATTTGAAGAGCCATTGGATCATTGAATGCCGGCCAATCACTATTTTGAAAGGACCTCTTTGAGAAAAATGGTGAGGAAAACACAGGACTTTATCAACACTAATTTTAAAGATTGTAACAAGATAACTCAAGACCTTATTGATAATCCGATTGTAATCAGGCAAGGTAATAACTCAGGACCTTATCAACACTGATTTTAATCCTGGAACACGATAAGTCGGGTCTTATCGGTTTCAGTCTGTTTTGCTGCTCATGGTGACCATACTCCATATTGAAGCGAAATTTTATGAACCATAAATATGTAAAATCTTTTCTACCAAATGGACATTTAGATGCATACGCCATACGACCAATCATTTAATTTAATGTCAAATGATTAATATCGAGGTGCCTGAATTATATACCAACTAACTGACTGATATTATTATCATATCTATGATATTAAAAATGTCAATTATTCTTTAAGGTCTTAACTGGTGTATTTATAATTTATACATATTAATTACAAAGTATTATCTGCAACAGTTTTAATTTTTTGGTTTAGTTTCTGTATTCTGTGGATATGTGCGTACCAAATACAAATATAAGGAAATAGAAGAAATCACAAACGGTTCTTAGAAGAGT